GGTTTCTCTGTGGCTTTGGAGCCTGTCCTGGAACTAGCTCTGTAGACCAGGCTGGTCTCAAACTCACAGAGATCCGCCTGCCTCTGCCTCCCAAGTGCTGGGATTAAAGGCATGCGCCACCATTGTCCAGCTATTCTGCAACTTCTGCTCCCTAATTTTCACATCGTAGGGGTCTGTTGTTCTCTGGTAAAGAACTTATCTAGTGTGCTTAAGACTCTAGATTCAATTCTTAGCACTGAAGGAGGAAAACAAAAACTGAGTGTAATGGTACATCCCCAAACAGGGGAGATGGAGGTAAGAGGGCAGGAGTTCAAGGTCAGACTGAGACTGTCTGAAAAAACAAAACTAAACCAAAACAAGGATCAAAAACAAGAAAAGCATAGTAGCCAGTAACAACGCCAAATGTATGAAAGGTACACCTTATTATCACACCATTCTGTATCCAATGTCAATGAAACTAAGGGATATGGAGACTTTGGTGATTTACATACAAATATTCCCCATAGGCAAATATATTTAAATGCTTAGTCACCAGGAAATACTATTTGAAAGGATTAGAAGGATTAGGAACTGTGACCTTGTTGGAGGAAGTGTCTCTTTATGGCTCAGCTTTGAGGTTTCAAAAGCTCATGCCAGGCACTGGTGTTCCCTCTCTTTCTGTCTAGATCAAGATGTAGTCCTCAGCTATGTTTCCAACACTTACCTGCATGATGCCATAGTCCCTGCCATGATAAGAATGGACTCATCCTTTGCAACTGTATGCAGGCTTCCAATAAAAAGCTTCCTTTTGAAAGAGCTGGCATGGTCATGGTGTCTTGTTATAGCAACAAAACAGTGATGAAGAGGGAGACCTACAAATACTTTAATGCACAAGGTTGTTTCCTTTAAATGTGTGCCTGACAGTTTTAAAACTCCCTGCTTCCTTGGAATAAACATCAGCATAGCTCTTAACTGGGTAAAGACCTTTGTACAGCCAAGCCTGGTGGGGCAGGCTGTCAACCCAGGACACAGGAGAGAAAAGTAGCAGCATTACAAGTTTGAGAAAATTTGGGGCTCCATAATGAGACTCTGTTTCAAAACAACAAAAAAAGAGAAAAACAAAACAAATACTCAAAAAACCTCCAAAACATATAAATTGAAAACAAATAATCAAAAAAAGAATAACCAAATAACCAAAATAAAACCAAAAAAAAAATACAAAACCAAAACTAAAGACCATTTTTTACTTCCTTCAAGGACATAAAGAACAGGGACTAGAGGGAAAGAGAAAGAAACAAAACAAATTTTGCTTGTCAAATGCCATGAAATCTAAATATTTGTATTATTATTTTTAAAGAGAACACCTGTATCAATCCTGTGCCCCTCCCCAAGGCTCAGGAAATGTCCTGGAAGCAGGATCTGAAAGAATGCAAGAGCCAGAGGATGGAGAGAAGAAGAGTTGGAAAATGTTGTCTTCTTAATAGGGCATGGCTGCCACACTCACAAACTCAGAGCAATTGTGGTTCCTGGAAGAGGCTCACGGAGCCCTACCCCTAGCTACTGACAGCCAACAGCTGCTGGTGGATGGGGCATAATTTGGGGGGATTGTCCATGACATACGGTAGTAGTCTCAAAAGTCACATGCGTGAGGGCAGGGCTAACTAGAATCACTGGGTCACACAAAGCAAAATGAAGGCATGGAGTTGAAATGCCTTAGAGGGAATAGGAAGAGGGATGGATACGATCAAGTTTTTATGCATGTGCCACTATTGAAGAATAGATAAAAACATTCTTTAAAAAGGACATAATTAATTGGCCATTGGCAGAGCTGTAAGTTTTATATGTAGCCTTGCAGTTCCTTTAAGAGCTTAGAAATAAGTGAGGCTGAAAGACCTTACCAAACTATAAACACGGAAGCAGTCATTGAGAAAAGCACGGCTGAGCTCAGGGTCTGAGGAGCTCGGACTCCTACACAGTCCCACTGCTGCTCATTGCACGTATCACTCAGTCTCCCTGAGTGGCAGTGCTTTTCATTTGTGAATGAGACCCCAGCAAAGATCACAGGACGTTTTTTATAAGAATTCGCATATGAATCTAAGTGCAAATATAATGAGTTGCCTAAAATATATGAATATATCTGAAAATATACATAACAATGAGTAAAAAGTTGAGTGATAAAAATGTGGTAAATATGTTGTTGTAAGGCCAGGCATGAAAGATGGACGGTTCATGCCTGTAATTCCAGTACTTGGGAGGCAGAGCTGGAGGGTTGCAAGTTCTAGGCTAGCTTGGGTTGCATACCAAGACCCTGTCTCAGTAAAAGAAAATGATTAATTAAAAAAAAAAATACAACATTCACATGCCTTTAATTTCCAGCAATCAGGAGGCAGAAGTAGATGCATTTCAGAGTTCTATCTCAGTCTATCTACAATCTACATAGTGAGTTCCAAGTCAGCTGGGGCTACATAGTGAGAACCTGTCTTAAAACAAATAAAATAAAAATTCTAGTAGACTGAACACATGGAGTTTTAATTTAATGAAAATCTAAGCTGCTGTAAACTTGGAGCCATATTTTTGTACCTTTGTGACTTTTGCTCTTTTCTTTTTCTTTTTTTTTTCTTTCTTTTTTTTTTAGGCAGGGTTTCTCTGTGTGGCTGTCCTGGAACTCTGTAGACCAGGCTAACCTTGAGCTCTGCCTCAGAGATCTGCCTGCCTATGCCTCCCAAGTGCTGGGATTAAAGGCATGCGCCATCACCGCCCTGGTACCTTTTGTGCCTTTATAAAGGGAAAGTATAATGACACTAAACTAGCACCCAGTGTTCAGCTGTATCCTGACCTCAGGAGCATGTCATTTGACGGTCAGTGGGATATAGTAAGGTGCACTGACGTCTCCACCAAAGGATCTGGAAGTTCTCTTAATCTCTGAACCATCTCCAAGTCTTAGATTGTCTTTTTCCTTCAAGTTATTTTAAAATTGCATTTATTTGTGTGTGTGTGTGTGTGTGTACAAATGTGCTATGGAAACAGCAAGGGAGTTGGTTTTGTCTCTTACCGTGTGGGGACTGGGTCTTGAACTCAGGTCTTGGTTTGGTGAGAGCACCATTACCTGCTGAGCTGCTCCACCCTTTCCCCTTTATTTTGAGACAGGGTCTCAAAACAAACAGCAGGTAGACCTCAAACTCAACATGTTCCTGAGGATGATCCTCCTACCTCCACTGCTGGTTGGGCTGCTGATTGGGCTAGAGGCTGATGGGTAATTTAGTCATTCTCCAGCTTCTCCTCCTGTTGGCAGCATACTAGTTAAAGGCACCACAGTTTTCAGAAAACGTATTGTGGAAATACTCACTGTCATTGAAATATATTTTAGCTAAATTCCAAAATGGCATGACTTTTTAAAATTTATCTGTAATACTTAAAGATATATTCTATTTTTGCTGAAGAAAAAAATACCCAAATGAAATCAACAAAGCTTACCTACTGTAATCCAAACATAATAATTTTGTTATATGATACTATATAAATAATTATGCAAAAATGATTACCTTTATTTCCTTTTTGGATTTATAGAAATGAGCAACTGCTTAGCCATGTTGGCTTGTTTATAATGTGGTATAGAAATATTACTGAAAGACTGGCCTTACATTGGCCATTGTACCAATTCAACAAGAGTACCACATTTCAAGATCAGACATAATAAAGAAGTTTGGTATATAGTATGCACTCAAACACCACCAGGATAGCTCTTCCTTTCCTCTTAAATGAGTAAGCTTTGGTCAATTTTGGGCTTGGTTCCACCTTCATTTAGAGTCAAGCTTCACAATTTGACTTTTTGGAGACTTACATGGGGGCAGCTCTGAATGAGAATTTGGAAGCACGGGTGTATCTGTTTCCTTGTTATTGCTGTGATTAAACACGATAATCAAGACAACTTACAGAAGGAAGGGTTACAGTGGTTCTCAACCTTCCTGATGCTGTGACCCTTTAATAGAGTTCCTAGTATTGTAGTGATCACAACCACAAAATTATTATCGCTGCTATTTCATAACTGCAATTTTGCTCCTGTTATGAATTGTAATATCTGTGCTTTCTGATGACCTTAGGTGACCCCTTTGAAAGAGTCATTTGATCCCCGAAGAGGGGGGGGTCCCACAGGTTGGAAACAGTTGATTTAGGATTTATGGTTCCAGTGGGATAAGAGTCCATCACTATCACAATGGAGACAGCAGCTGGCAGACTTGGCAACTGGAGCTGGAAGCTGAGAGCTGAGGGCTCACATCTCTAACCATAAACAGGAAGCAGATAGAGTGAAGTTAAAATGGCAAGACCATGCTTCCTAAGCCTCCCCAAACAGCTACCTACTGGGAACCAAGTATTTAAATGCCACGACTATGGGAGATACCTCATTAAAAACAACCACAGTGAGTTAAATTCTTTTTGCTGTGTATTCAAAACAGTGTTTTCAACATGAGCTTTGAGAATGTTTGGGAGAGGCATTCTAGCATTCCACTTTAAGCCGGTGCCAAACACCAGACCCCTCTTATAAAGAGAAGTATTGTTTGCTTTACCATGAAAGTTTACATACATGTGCATGGATGTAGACTGGCTCACTTGGGAAAACATTGCAACTCAATTTGTGGCTTATGCTGACCCTTTCTGACCTGCTATACGAGGTTCAAATCTGCATATTTGAGTACTGGGAGGAATTTTTGCCACGTCCAAACCCAGTCCTCACTCAGTGCTCTCTGCATTATTCTAGTGACTGTTGAAGGTGGAAAGGATTTTTGTTTGCCTGTTCTTCTGGTGGGGCATGAGGGTGGGTGGGAAGGTAGTAGTTGAGATAGGATCATGCCCTGGTAGGCAGCTGACTTGACTTGGTACTCAATATATAGCCTAGGCTTGCTTTACACTTATGGAAATCCTCCTGCTGCAACCTCCTAGGTACGGGGATTGTAGACATGAACCACCACTTGTAGGGAGAGCAGGAAATTTTCAAGTCTTTGATCTCTAGCTTTGGGTTTGCCTTGGCTTTGTATTTACTGTCTATAAAATTGAGCCTCAGCACAGCTGACCAGAGTAATCACAAAATGATGCTGACACAGCAGAGACAGCCTTCCTGGACAGTCCTTTAACGGGATGAGCTGAGAGCCTCTGATCTTGAGATATCAGCGGGCTTCCTAGTGTGACACTCTTCTTCTCAGTAAGCCCAAGAGAGGCTCAGCCATTGCAGTAGGAGTGACCTGTGTCACACAGTGACTCTGAAAGTGCAAGGATATAACCTTTTCCCCAAGGCACAAAACATTTATTTCACATGGGTTATGCAGCAAATGAATGAAGTCTGTGATCTGAAATCAATTGTGATATTAAAAGTCTATGACAATTTTGAAAACCCATGTGATTCCTATGAGCACCGAGAGTGTGTTTGTATTCAGCTGCATTTTGTTCTCTGTATAGTTCTCACTGCCTGTGTCACCTTCATCTTTTTCTCTTCTGTTGGTGATACACGATGTCCTACCATAAAGACAACCAAGGCCACGGGATGCCGGTCCATAAATATAGCCGAGGCATGAGCACAATGACACCTTGCTTCCTCACATCTTCTGTTCCTTCTGTTCCCTTCTGTTCTCCCGGGTCTAGCTTCTTAACCATTTATGGATTCAGTGTCATCCAAGGAGGTGTGAAGAGGTGAAGGCCAAGAGAAAAACTCCAAGGGAAAAAGGGATGATGAAAAGGCAGTTTTACTACTCAGGGCTCTCCAGGAAAACAGGACAGAACCAATAGGGCCTGTGTGTATCCGCTGGTTTGGGTGGGAAGTCTCCCTGCAGTCTGAGAGGTCCAAACACTTGGTCCCTAGCTGGGAGTTGGTTCAGGAATTTGTGGAATTCGTAGGAAGTGGGTTTGCTAGGGGGTGGACTCTGGGACCTCCAGTCTGACCTGGCTGGGTACGAACTCTCATCTTCCTGGTGCAGAGATGAGAAAGCACCTGTCCACACATTCCAGCTTGCCAGGAATTCTACTGTATCTTCCTCGCAGTGCTGGGTCATACCCCTTCAGAGTATAAGTCAAAAGAAAGCTTTCTTCTGCTAAGTCACTCTTCTCGGGGATTTTCATCGTAGCTATGAGAAAAGCATCTAATGTAAGCCTGGGTATATCAGGAAAGCTAATCTGATTAAAGTTCACTGGCTTAATTTCTAATCACATCTAAAATCTAGACTACTGTGTGACCAAACACGTGGGTAGACTAATATTCCTTAAAAACGGCGGCGGGGCGGCGTGGGTGTGTGGACAAACACGGGATAGACGGCACGCAAAGGAAGAGACAGACACGCAGCTCCCACGTGGGTGTGTTTTAATGGGGAGAGGGGAACACAGTAAGGGGTGGGACGTGCGACACACAAGGGTAGGGGGGAAAAGGGCCAAGAGGGGGGCCAAGAG